TAACAATAGACAAATTTTACAATATTTAAATTGAATCGTTAAGAAAACTTACGCCGAATGTATACTTTGCAATTCACGTGTCCATCGCGCATAAAGAACGCGAATTGGCCACGCAAAAGAATAAACGGGGACAGTTGGCACATTCTTCAGAATTTCGAAATCACAACTTCTCAGACAACTATTTATTACGATTGACTGTACAAATATGACAGAGACGTCATTTTTCTATATTTTACGCCCGCAACAACTTTATAAACCTATATTTTCTTCTATAATAATCAAAATACAAACATATTGCAACGTGACCATCTTGCCCCGGCAAGTTGACTTGCAATTCGGGATAAGAAGACAACATATAAAATATATATTCGGGTTGGTAATTGCGGGATCTCTGCGAGAAGTCTCCACAGACCTGTCGACTCTTAAATAGTGGCCAACTTTACCTCGTCCGTCTATACGCTTTATTTCAATCATTTTATGAATGTAAAATTGCTTTTATTACCCGAAGTAGAGTATATCATACACTTGCAGGAAACTTTATTCTAACTAATAACATTACTTAAGTTTGTTCACATTTCAAGATGCAAATATGCACTCTTTTTTTGGCTAGTTTTGAATCATTATTTTTATATTTTCTAATTATAATATATTATTCTGATTTTAATGAGATTTGGAGAAAAGTGTCTATGTTTTAAGAGAAATATTTCGTGAATTCGTTTCTATCGTGCCTTTCACGATAAAGACACGATAAAGACAAGCAAAGCACATGATCAACACGTTTATTATGTTATAAAAAAAATTAAATATATTTAAGATTTAATAATGTAAATGAAATATTATATAACATAAAAAAAAATTGTTATCTAATGTACCTTTTGTATCAGAGTTTATCAAAATAAATTATAATGTATTATTAATTATTATTATTCATAATTATACATATTTATAATATATATAATAAATTAATTATTAATATATAATATAATCAATTAATTTTATAATATAATAAACATGGCCGATATATTATTTGAGCCAATTCCACCGAATGAGGAAAAAGCATGCTGCGTTTCTCTTATTTCTTCGGCGGTTTTTTGTCATGCAGATAATTCAACCCGCGATCAAATATGCAACCTTACCTGCGATGTGACTTTTTGCTCGTCCTATCTGAAATTCATAACATATCAAAGCTGACATCTCTAGAGAGCTAACAGCGCGGTAACGGCGGCGGAATCGCGAGTTTAAGGAGAATTATGTTCTCAGAATTTGCGATGCGTGACAAGAGAAATTGCAAGTCGCCAACGCACGCATCTCTGCATTTGACAAATTCGAGTGCGCGGCATGATTTTCTTTTGCATATCGGAATAAGTATGAATAAGTAAACAACATCTTATTTGATATTTATAAGAGAGCCTGACGCATAATTCAACGGCGCTTAATGTCACATGAATTTACTTCATGTAGCGACATGCGGGCCGAGTAAAAATTGATTATATGTACACATATTATGTGGATTATAATAATTCTTACACGGGACCATGCATCACGGGAATAATAAATCCGCGGTAACGCCGCACCGCAGAATATTACTTGCATCGAAACGCGTTGTAATATATGCAACGCGCACATTTCAATTTGTAATTAACATATATACAGGGTGTTTCTTAACTTCCGCCCACGAAGCACGTAGCGTTATTTCTTATGAAAAATTAAATCGAAAAATCCTAAACCATTTTTGTTTTTGATGCTTAACGAAGCAGGTATTCTTTAATAAACTCCAGCAAATCCGCGCCGTTCTTTAGCAATATACACGTCTGTGAGCTGTGCGTGAATGCAGCAGCGAAACATTCAAGAAAATATAAAAATAATGATTCAGAACTAACTAAAAAAAGAGTGCATATTCGCATCTTGAAATGTGAACAAACTTAAGTAACGTTAGTTATTAGTTATTAGCTATTATTAGTTATTAGTTAGCTATTAGTTAGAATAAAGTTTCCTGCAAGTGTATGATATACTTCTAAAAGACGGCGCGGATTTGCTGAAGTTTATTAAAGAATATCTGCTTTGTTAAACATCAAAGATAAAAATAGTTCAGGACTTTTCGATTCAATTTTTCATAAAAAATAACGTTATGTACTTCGTGGGCGGAGGTTAAGAAACACCCTGTATATTTGTATTGATATCATTATACAGGGTGTTCGGAAAGTACCGGGACGCCCGAATATCAGGAAAAATATAAGTTTTACAAAAAAATGTTTCAGACAAAAGTTGTGGCGTTTAAAAAGATGTATTTACTGATCACATCAGTT